TTGAGAGGAATTTTTGAAGTTCGGCAAAGATATAACTCTGCCAACGTCTCCTCAAAAAACCTAAGCGGCCCATCGGGGTTGTTTCAGTGCTCAGTCAACACATTAGAGCGTCCACGTCCCCGGCCGCTCAAATATATTTTACTTTATCAAGAATAAGTCGGACTTGTTCTTTCACGACTATTCAGTATCACCGGCGGGGCTTTCGAATTTGAGCCGCCATTTTCTCGCTCTCCACTCACGTAGGAATATATTATTGCATACCACCCTCCCTATTTCTCTGCTTTGTTTGTCTGCACTTATGATCATGAGTTCATATCTACAGTACACTGGTACCTTTTTGAATGCACGAAAACAAGTTGTGTTACCTAAAACATTCCATGATGGTAATGTGTGTCAGATGCGTTGAATCTGCCTCATTTGCATTTCACCAACGTTGACACTTGACCGTAGGACGACCACACGGAAAAGAAGACATCGTTCAGGTTGGCAGGGAAATAAACGTAAGCCTCTGAATGAAATGACACTTCTAAGATTCATGTCGACAAATTGCAGATCCCTATTTAACAAGAGTGTCTAGTTATCGCCACTTATGTTGGAAAGAGAGCGCAGTAAGTCTGCAGTTATCTGTCTGGAAGAGAATTGGCTTAAAAGTGATTTTAAGTTGTAACTCATCGTTCCGCAGGAAGTTTTTTTATTTCCGATCGGACAGAAAGTCCTTATTCAGCAGCGGGGGTCGTAGAGTGGCTGTCTTTGTAAACCAGCAAGGGTGCACAAATCGTAAGTCCTTATTTTCCTTATCGGGCGACCCAATAGACAGTATTGCTGTTGTATGTAAGCCTCGATGTTTAAGTAATTCTAAAGGCATTATTTATGTCAGCATTTGCATTTCCCCCTTTGCCTGCCAAGGGGCTTTAGTCCAGTTTTGTGATTTTCTTTCCCTAATACTTGCAGTACATTCTTGCGAGCATATTATTATTTTAAGTGGTGACTTTAACCGTGTAAATCCTCGCCTCTTACATTGCTAGGTTTTTACGAATAAGTTTCCTTCAACACTCGTGCTGATGCCCCTCTTGATCACATATTGACCCACCACCCCTAGCTTTTTGTGGTCAAACATAGAGCTCCGTTGTCAGGCTCAGACCATTCTGTGTTATTGGGCCTTCCAACCATCTCTTGTAGTACTAATAAAGGGCTGTTAGCAAAATCCGAGGGGAAACTAAAGGTGCGAGACAGGTCCCCACATAATATTTCTTGGCTCCAGACGGTCATATCTGACAAGCTTTCTACCCTTCCTG